GTGAAGGAATATGGATTCCATTCATGGAGAAACAGCTTAATTGTAACAGCAACACTGTGATTGTTGGGCATAGCTCTGGGGCCCAAGCTGCCATAAGGTGATTTTAGTGAAAAATATTATTGATGAAAAGTTTATCTCTTTGTAACATGTCCACAAGTCAAGGTTAGAAGCATATCACATTTTCATGATCAACAACTTGCCCTGTCCTTGTTAAAGTACCTATTGGTTGACATGTGATTTTAAACTTACAACAGTTTAAAAAAGATGAAAAGAAAAAATTGCATAACATTTGGAAGGAGTTATCTTAATAATATCCAATTCTCCTAAATAAGTTGAGGGAGATTTATACCAGCTATATGGGAGAGTTAGAAATTTAATCAAATTGTGAAATTCAAAGGATTGTACAGTGGTCAAAAGGAATGTGAGTTCAGTTTTCAAAGGAGAATGGGGAAAGAGATGGTAGTAAGAACGAGGAATTCTTCTCTATTTTCCCTAATTTGGTCTGTTGGGGCCGACTAGTGGCCGAATGAACAAACTGATGTTGATTAGGTCATGTGGCTTGGTAGCACATGGTTTTTGTCTCAAGAGTAGTTTTGTGTTGGGGACAGCAATTGCTTTGTTCGTTTGTTACAGTTTTTTTACTTTTCCCACTCTTCATTGTGCAGAATATGTAAGTATGAAGATTGTATCTTCCTTTTTACCCCCATGTGTTGTTAATTTAGGTTTTCTTTCTTCAGTTTTTACAGTGGAGGTCGATCAATTCAAAACAAGAGAAAATAGTAGACATGTTTGTAATTTGAAAGTTGTACACAATCACCAATTGACCTGGCTCTGGTTGTTCGAAGATCGCATAACGGTATCCACTGGATAAATCTCTATCCATTGGATAGCATTATCTGCCCTTTATACAACTGGGTTCTGAATTAAAGTATTGTCTTCTACAACTATGAGTCAAAAAAGCTCTCTGCAAATTGTTCCAAACTCAATCCACTCTCCATCATGTTGCTATTTGTGTGCTGAACATGGAAACAGGCTAAAAGAATTAAATTAAAGATAAATGGCTGAGACAGAGTGTACCTGCAAGTGTAAAAGGTACTTTGGTCAAAACACCCATGAAAACATGAGACCTGAAAATTGCAAATTCTTATGAGGTGTGGGTCTTCAAGAGGTTTCATAAAACAAAGTCAAGACTGTCTTTTGTTTCTCCACTTTGCACTCTACAATTCTGTATTTTGTTCCTTTTACTCAGATATGCAGAGAATCATTGTGTGCTTGGTTTGGTTCTGGTTTCAGCTTGTGTGACGGATTTGGGAGATCCCAATGAAAAAGCAAGTGGTAAAGGAAAATTATCATAAATTTTTTTCATAGTTCTCCTCATCCTCATTATCACATTTTGATCACTACATAGCTTGCATTTGTTTTGAAAGTATTAGCTGAAAGAATTGTTTTCACAGGTTATTACAATAGGCCCTGGGAATGGGAACAGATTAAGCACAACACACAGTGGATCATTCAGTTTGGCTCAACAGATGACCCTTTTATTCCATTTAGCGAACAGAAACAAGTGGCGGAAGGAACTGGTGCTGAGTTCCAACAATACTCTGATAAAGGGCACTTTATGTCAATGGCATTTCCTGAACTTCTTAAAAAGTTGATGGAAAAATTACAGGGAAGCTAATTTAAAAAATGGATTTATTCAGGGATGGGTTTTAATCAAATGAGCATCAAAAGAACCATAATGGACTGACAAGATTTTGATAATTGATGCATCCATAACCTTTTAACTCCCACAAGTGATCAACAAAAAACTTCTCCCTAAAATATCCTTACATTATCCACCAAATAGGTGATGAGAATGTTTAAACTCATCAATTAGAAGTTGTTATCTTGATCTAACACCAAATTCTCATTACTAATTTACAAGGAAATGTGTAACAGCTTGAGGGGAGAATTTACAATTTGATCTTGGGAGTTAAAGGGTTAAGAAGTTAGAAGTTAGGTAAGAAATAGCTACTAATTTCGTCCATTTTCAGAGTTGAAGTCTGAATAGAAAGGTGTAAAAAAAAAAAAAAAATACTGTCATGATTGATTGGTCTCAATTCATTAGACAAATTGCATCAATCTGATGATGTCCTCTAAGGCTTGAAATACCAAATAAACACTCTTGCCCTAAGACTGATTCCAATACTTGCTCTTGAGCATTTCCAACATGTTCAACAAACTGTGACCCTGTTATTTGTAGAAGCTGTTCTGCAGCATGATCTGTCAGAGATGCCTCTATGCTCTTCTCTGAGTCATGTAACTCAAGACTCAAAGTATACTGCCACTTCCAGTACATGGATGGGGATTTCTGAAATCACAATTGTTTAAAAACAATTATTTCACAAAGGTTAGATATGATCAAACTTTCCCCAGCATCAATCTTAAATAAGTTTTTAAACTGTAGCTGACATTCATTCAGTGAAAATCTGAAAAAAAAGTTGAAGTGAATGGAAAATGTAGAGTGATTGAAGCAATTGAGCCAATCTTGATCAAAATAACAATGTTTAATTTAACTTTCTTCAAGAGGATTTAGCATTGTTATGGTAACCCTATATGTGATCTCAACTTGTTGAGAAATGGTTAGGTAATCTCTTTTGGAATACCATTTTCAAGGAAACTAAAGAAAAACTGTGTAAACAGCAATCCATCAGAGAACTGAAAGAAAGAAAAATCAGCTTTGACCTGTGTTAACTTATCTAATTTCTCCTTACAATATCACTCTTGAATCAAACATTAAAATTACAAGTATAAAAGAAATGATCGCCAACCTGAGAAGCTTTGATTGTTGAACAAATTCTCCTTTTCAATACGAAAGGAAATATATAGACGACAGTACAGAGAAGATGCACACTGATGTTAAGAGTTCAAAGGGTTAAGACTCACCAGCTGATTTGGCTTGTTGAGCATTTCATTCAAATGAGTAACTTCGCATTTTTTGCAGAAGAAATTCCCACTGTTACTTTCCACTTCCCTGTGGCACGACATGTGAACTCTAACAGCATGTCTGCCACTGATGCCGTGGACTTGAATGACGACAGCTTGACACACACAGTGATCAAACTTGACAACATCTTTGACAGGCACTGGAGATGACAAGCACTTGCTTGCCAGCCATCCAGTCATTGCGCTAAGATTCCAGATCCTTCCACCATTGCTTGTCTCTAAGGTTAAGGCTTTGGATGAACTTGCACCTGTTTTGGAAAGAAAAAAAATTATTCAGTTGTCACAAGTGATCAACATGTAGCTTTTCCTCAAAAATCTCAGTGCATTGTAAAGCAGACAGGTGACTAGCATAAATATCTTTATCAAATTCTCGTAACTACAGTGCAAGGAAATGAATACAAACTAGAAGAGAGAAATTACAACACACATCTTGGGTGTTAAAGGGCAAAAAAAGATGACTGCTAGTTTAAACGTGTCATTTAATCAGTAACTCTTTAACTCCTAAGATCTCAAAAGTAATTCTCCTTACTATCTGCCATGTAATTCTTGTGGTGTTAGTTCAGAGAATTTGGTTCTGGATCAACTAGTAATCCCCTAATTGATATTATTCTTTATTATCCTTGCTGGTCAGCTTGACATTGTATCGATATTGTAAGGAGAAATTTTGTTGTGGTCACTCATGGGAGTTGTGGAGGCGTGGTGGCCTCATGGTTAGTGCGCTCGACTCCAGATTGGGTGGTCTGGGTTCGAGCCCTGGCCGGGGTCATTGTGTTGTGTTCTTAGGCAAGACACTTTACTCTCACAATGCTTCTCTTCACCCAGGTGTACAAATGGGTACCAGCAAATGTGCTGAGGGTAACCCTGTGATGGACTAGCATCCCATCCAGGGGGGAGTAGCAATACTCCTAGCTGCTTCATGCTAAGAAAACCGGAGTTAAGCACCGGCCCCATGGGCCACTTGGGCCTGTATAAAGGCTTACTTACTTAAAGGGCTAAGGGTAAAAGAGTTACATGAAGCTAACTTTACCAGTAACACTGGATTAGGCTTTATAATGAACTGGAAATGATCTTACAAAAATCTGAAAAAACTCTTACCCCTTTAACTCCCAGGTCAAAATTGTAATTCTCCGTACTGTCAACCACACAATTCTTATAATGTTAGTTCAGAGAATTTAGAGTTGGATCAACTAATTATCTCCAAATTGATATTTTTCTTTATTCTCATCACTTACCTGGTTGATAATGTATTGATATTGTAAGGAGAAATTCTGTCTGGATCACTCATGGGAGTTAAAGGGTTAAATATTTCAAAAAATTTTCATCAAAAACTCTTGTTGCAAGAAACTGATAGAACCATGGTCTACATAAATATTTTTCAACACAATAATTTATTACTGTATTAGTTTAGGCTTGGTATCATATATAATCCAAAGAAAGAAATTTTATCATAATTCTGAGTTTTGTTGACATGTCATCTAAAAATACATTTCTTACCAACATAGCATACAAACAACCATTGTTTGATTGTCTAGTCACAAATTACAAGACCAGTGGTCTGACAAGAAATCCCTTTGTTGGTATCCAACCTTAAATTTATACCTACCTGGAGCACAAACATTTTCCAACAAAACATTTTGGCCAGCAAAAAGTGAATCATAATAAATTCTGTTGTGATCATAAATTGTAACAGTGTGACTGTTGGTAGCATCTGTGACAGTTAAGATGAACTTGTGTCCTGCTACTTGCTGTTGTGTGAAAACCTCCATGGCACTCACATTGGTTATGGTACAGAATACTGTCACCCTTGTCATGTTTGATTTGATGTCCCTCAAAAAGATGCGTTCAGGAAAGGTCGAATAGTCCAACATCCCTTGACTATCTCTGATAACACTCACAGGGGTCCCCTGGGTACTGGAATTTTGGCTTGGAATTGTTTCATGTTCTGGGGCATGTGACATGCAAAATATGACTGTAGCTGGACCATATTCCAAGAAAAACAATTCATCCTGGTTTGGGACCACGTACGGTTGCTGAATAGCCAGTATGTCGCCTTCTTTGAACAGGTTTGCTAAAGGGAGTTGTTCATCCCAGAGGTATAAATTCACATGAACGTCGTCAGAATCAACTACTTTCACGCATCTCTTGTTACTCGTCTGGCCATTAGGAAAGTGGACCGCTTCCTCAAAGCCTAAATCGGCGACTTCAACCTTAACACTGTGACCGTAATGGGGAGAAGGACTCACATTAATATTTTCAAGCGAGCCAAACTTTCCAAACTGCAATAGTTCGTCCTGCTGGCATAAAATCACTACATTTTCCGATGGCAGAAGATGAACTTTGTGACTGGCCGAAGAAAAACTCAAACCTTTTCCTTGTATTAAGCGACAGCTGGTGAAACGCAAGGTGAGTTTTTTAACGCTAGATTCGTTCAACTGGTAGAGCTTTTGATGTAGGTACATTCCCAGAGTATTTCTGCCTCTTGTCGAATCTCGCAAAATGGCAATCTTTGTGTGAGTATCTGGAACTGTTTCAATATTTTCCACGGCTGCTTCAAGGATTGATTCATATCCTATGCGCCTGCTTTCAAAAACAGAATCAACAGATACCTTTCGCGCTCTCTGTTCCTCTAGAAGTCCCTGAAATTGACTATGTTGGTTCCATGACTGTTGAATCTCTGCCAAAATAATCGCCTTGGTGATTCCCGAAGGATAACGAGACAGAAGAGAGGCGAGTTTGATAAACAGCCAGTTCCAGGGCGGAATACATTTTCCATTTGTTCGATCTTGAATGTAGTTCCTCAGTGAAGTAACACACTCTTCAAACATAATGGCAGGGAGTAATCGACAGAATTCTTTAGCAATTTTTCATTTTATTTTTCCCGCCTTGACTTGGTAGCCAGTCCATAGCGTGGTTACCTAGTCTCACTTCTAGGCTCTCTCTGCTGTCTCTCAGCTTGGTTACCAAGATATTCGACTTAGTCCCCCACAAATGAGCGCGTTCAACATGGCGGTCAAACTTTTGCAAAATATATATTTGCTTCTTTAATATTGGAGGCAAATGGCTTCCTCAGTATTCCATTTGCCTAATCATTAAGTGCCTACTGCAATGGCCTATCACAGGCTTTTTTCATTATTGAGGTGTTCGAGTCTTCAGAGATGTTTTAGTTCGAGAAGACAGGATGAAACTATCATGAACGTGTTTGATCGAAAGGCAAAGAGAAGGCAAAAGAACAGAGCGGCAATGGCTGAGGATGTGGCGGTATATGATTACCTCAGAGATGAGGTCAGAAAATTATTAATATTTTTGTATTTGTTAAGTTTGTGAGATAAATTTCAGTATCTGAGCATTGCTGCGCATCTAACCCTCCGTTTAAGTCAACCGATAACAAGTTCGGGTTAATGTTGGGTTAGGGGAGGGGTAGGTGTGTAGCTGCTCAGATGCTGACATTGATCCAGTTTGTGTGGGATATGCATGCTGAATGCTGGGTGTAATCTCATTCTGGGTGGAGTGGGGGGAGAAGGTGGAATGTAACTGGGTAAAATTTCCGCACAGCCCCATCCTGCATTATGCATTCAGTTCTTGAACAGAGAAAACAATGACAAAAACAATACATTTCCGTTGGGAAAACAGATTTGTTTTACAATAGTATGGGGCTGTGCGGAAACTTTACCTGTAACTGTTGTCAGAGTATAGCGGGTAATTTAGTGTTGACAACTGAGTTGAAAACGTAAATTGGTAAAGAGTTAAAAGGCTGATGTTTCAAGCTTTAGCCCTTCGTCATTGCTCTGACAAAAGTTTTCAACTCATTTGTTAACACTAAATTATCTGCTATACTGTACACTCCCACCTACGTAGCACTAAAGTTTCTTTAGAAACTTACCCCCTTTATTTGTATTATTATTTTGTTGTCAGAGTAGTTGCAAAAGTGAAGGCTTGGAAAATAATCATATTTACCTAGTGTGGACTGGACAGAGATTAAAATGTGACAAGTAGTTTCTGTAATGGAATGGTACTTTTTGATTTTTCTACTTCATTTGATTTCTGCATTGTCCCTTGAAATGATCTTTGTCAGGCACAAAGACAGTAACAACAACAACAACATAAACAACATCAACAAAACTGAAACACATTAAAGACATTTAGGCTGTAATAAAAGCACAAACAGCTCTTAATAGCAAATTAGTGATGGATCTCTAGTAAATTGTGCAAAGAAATCTTTCTCAGGAGGTTGATGGTTGGAGTGACAGGTGGGTCACCGTGATACATAATTCAAGACACTACACTCCCTCGGTGTCTCCTTCTAGGAGTACGAATTGGAGCCAGAAAAAATGTCTGGGAAAAGTGGTGTTGAGCAGCAAATGGGGTAGAAATGGCATACGGCGAACTAGCATCCAATCCTTAACCTTTAACATTTTATTAACTTCCAGATATTATCAACTTGAAACTTTTCCCTGTGATTTCATATATTACCTTGCAAGTAGGTTATGAGAATGGACATGCTTATAAGCTAGAGGATGTCAAAATGATATGACACTCAACTCTCCCCTCTCAATTTACAAGGGAATGTATAATGGCTAGAGGGGAAAATTACTAATTGGATCTTGGGAATGAAAGTTTACAGGAATAGTAAATATTCCTTTAAAAATCTTCAAGTTGGTATATATCATTAGCAGTAATTTATCATGAGGCTCATAGTTATGCAAGATACCCAGTGATATTGGATTATAACCAGTAAATTTGTTTGTTTTTTTTTCCCAGGTTGCTGAAAGGATGGTAGACAGAATAGGAGACATCTCAAGGTTTGTCTTTGTAAATATTTTTGGTTGTGAGGAAAATTATCAGTTTACTTTCCTTTCTTACTTTATTTTCTTTTCTCAGACATTTTCCTATGGCTCTGGATCTTGGTTGTGGGAGAGGACATATTTCAAAATTTCTTACAAAGGTTGGTACTGATTCTGTTCAGGTAATCCTAACTAAGGTTATTAACCCTTTGCTACCTAATATCAGTATGCATATTCTCCATACTGTTCTGTACACTTTTCCTAAAATGTTGACAAGGAGAATTTGTTTGACAATCAAAAACTTAATCTATAGTTGGTGATGATTTCCTTAATGTGTGATCTAGGGGTGATCTTATTAGGAGAAATCAGAGGCACCCCTAGGGGTCAAGGTGTTAACCCTTTCACTCCCAAGATCTAATTAGTAATTCTCCTTACTATCTGCCATACAATTCTTATGATGTTAGTTCCGAGAATTTGGTATTGGATCAACTAATAATCCCATGATTGATATTCTTCTCTATTCTCATCACCTGCCTACTTGATATTGTATTGATATTGTAAGGAGAAATTCTGTCTTGGTCACTTGTGGGAGTGAAGGGGTTAATGAAGTAAAATTCTTTAGGTTTGTAAATGTTACATGTAGTTTGTGATTATTCTTGTAATGATCTCTTGATACTTGATGATTGCTTTGGAGCTTCCATGAATACAGTATTTTAATTGGCCAGCACTGATATGTCTTTTTTCCCCTTTTAAGGATCAAGTTGGAACCTTAGTTATGTCTGATATGGCAGAAAATGCATTGGTAAGTACACTGCCTGTTAAACAATTTGTAGACACCCCTCCTCCCCCACCACACCTTTAACTATGGCTGGAAGGAGTAAGATCTTGGTTAGAGGTACATTTTGATTACCAAAGATATGTGTTAGATGATGTGAATTCATACAATTTGTTTATCAATATGTTATTGTTGTTGTTTTTGCCAGAATCAGTGCCCACCCTGTGAGATTCCATCTGTAAAAGTTGTGGCAGATGAAGAATTTCTTCCTTTTCCTACCAACAGTTTCGATCTTATTGTCAGTAGTCTGAGGTATGTCTTCAAAGGAATTTAAATTTTGTGTCAAATACCTTTCAAAAATTGTTTTCATTACTTTTAAACATTTCAAACAGACTGTCAACAGCCATGATGTTATTTAACCCCTCAAAAATGTTATTAGTGATTTCCTTTCTCTATTTTTATTTTCCTTTACAGCCTTCATTGGGTCAATGACTTACCAGGAACATTTAGCCAGGTATAACACAGGATAAGAACTGTAAACTGCATATTTAGTGGGTGTGGCTGACAAATTCTGTAGGATTTTCCCCATCAGCCTAGTGCTTGTGTTTGGTGATGATAATGTTGTATTTATATCGTAAAATAGGTTTTGGTTGGGGCAAATAACATGTCCAATAGCAAAATGTAATTGTTTGTCCAGAAGCTTGGATGCTGATGCTAAAAAAACACAACAACAGGAGAGCTGTGCAGCAATGTACTACCAAGGAAACCTGTTCCAAAGATGCACCAATCACAGCTGTGGAATTCAATCCAATCACAGTCGAGCACTTCAGCATATAGGTGGCATAATTTATACTCATTGGACCTCATCTTCTGAAGAAGACAAGCAGCTAGTATACAGTCAAAATGTTGGGATTCACATCCAAAGCAACCACATTGTGAGACAAATGATTACATTTTTTTGAAAATTTTTTTTTTTTTCAACAGATCTTTCATTGCCTTAAAGCTGATGGAGTCTTTGTTGGAGCCATGTTTGGTGGTGAAACTCTTTACCAGTTGAGAGCTGCACTGCAGTTGGCTGAAACTGAGAGGGAGGGGGTAAGTACAAGCCAAGTTCAGCTAAGTTGTGGGGGTGGGGAAGGGTGGAGAGTATAGGGCAGTATTAGCTGACTTAAATACCAAGGGAAGGAACTGTTCTCTCGATAAATTTGGGAATAATTTTCATTTTTACTTTTTGGACTTGAAGTATGTGGCAGGTTGTTTTGGTCTATAGTTTCCATTGAAATGAGCCTGATCTTTGAATTAGAGAAAAAGAGAAATATAACAACAACAAAAAAATGCAAAATGCTTTGCTGAGACATGGTGTTTTTGAAAATGAGAGAAGAAGATCTTAGAGTTATCACAGATACTGTTTTCTTGGTCTCTGCAGGGGTTTGCTGCTCATATTTCACCATTTGCAGAAGTACGAGATCTTGGAAATCTTCTGACAAGAAGTGGCTTCTCTCTGACTACTGTTGTAAGTTGGAGGAAGAGTTTGTTAAATTTCTGCAAACTATTTAAAAAATTAACAGTAAGTGGTTTGAAAGAGGAATAAAAGGACTTTGCTTGCTAAAATGCACTTTAGTGATGTCACAATTTTCACCTACCTTGTGTTGATATCATTAATTTTGAGAAAAATGGTCAACAGTTATGAAAGCCATTAACTTTTATTAGGAAAAAAATCCCAAGTTAGTGTTATTGTGTATTAAATCCTCAATTGTACATTAGCCCTATGAATTTCACCAAAAGAAAGTGATTGATGTTACATAACCTCAGTGGAAATTTGCATAAGAGTCTGGCAAAGACTTGTTAACCAGTCAAATGCCTGATGTCTGGTTTATCTCTCTTCCATCTACAAACATTGCGCTATTGGCACACTAGCAGCATGCAGGTCACATGTCACATGACCTTCATAATAGACCTCGCTCACTGTGGAGTCTCTGACTGGCCCAGAGGTGGAACATCGGAGCATGGAATCCAAAGATCTGAGGTTCGATTCCTCATGGGGACTCAGAATTTTTTCTTTGTCCCATGCTCATTACAAGACCAAAAACATCTTTCTTTATAAGAATGGATATGTCAGATTTGATGCAATTTCTTAGGTTATAAGCTGTAATTTTTTTATTCACTTATGTTGGTAAGTTTAATTTGTTGTTTTCTCATTGAATTCTTTTCAGGACTTTGATGAAGTAACTATAGGATATCCCAGCATGCTCGAGCTCATGCATGATCTGAAAGGAATGGGAGAAAACAATGCAGCATGGAACAGGAAGACATTACTGCACAGAGACACAATTGTAGCAGCTTCATCCATTTACCAAGGTAAGATATAATAGAATCCTTTTACTGTTTATGAAATGGTTATAGGAAAAAACTGATGTACAATTGCAAGTTTGTGGTGTTTAACATACATTCAAGAAATAATCGGTCTTGGAAACTTTTGAATAAATTTAAAAAGATAGTGTTGAACTTCTTAATCAATACTGAGACAAAATTCTCAATCATTACTGGTTATCATCAGCCTGATTTGAGCACTAATGGAACAGTGTGCAAGTCATGCTTGTAATCAGACAGTGTAATAGAACAGTTAATGTTTCATGCTTGTGGTAGTAAACATTGGGTGCTCTTGTGGTAGTTGAACTTTTTGCTAATAAATTCTCAGTTTTTTTGAGAACATACTGTAAATGGATGGGTAGTTTGTTTCTCATGTTTTGTCATAGTTTTGATCTATTTGTAACAGGACTTTCTGTTGGTAATTATAATCATGATTAACAAATGAGACTCCTGCTTTGCAGTCTTGTGATTTTGTTAATCACTTGCATAATTATGGACTGAACTGGACTCCACTCAGTCATATTAACATTATTTAATTGTTTTTGCAAGTTTTGTGTCTTTTCACTTCCTATTAAAACTCAGCCACCAGTTGTAGATTTTAATGTGCAGTTTTTTTCCAACCAGAATATGGTATAAGCATTTCCGGGGACAGATCCTGCTTTTAAATCCTCCCCTAACCTTTTATATATGAATGGAAGGTCCATGCTTTACGAAAAAAGGAACCAATTTGCTGCCTATAGTATTTCCTATTCTTTATATCCTTTAGATATGTATGGTCTGGAAGATGGAGGAATACCAGCAACATTTTTTGTACTTTATATGATTGGTTGGAAGCCTCATGACTCTCAGGTAAGGAAAAACTACATCATCTTTGTTGATCTGGATATTAGTATCAACAGTACACTCTGTGTTGGAATTTCATTGATTAAGAATTTTAATATGTGGGACTGCCATTAAGAATGACAACTTCACTGTTTTTTTGGTGGACTGTTCATTCTTTAGTTTTGTTTTGTATGCACAAATTTTTGTGGCATAAGATTATTGAAATTTCTGTCATGAACTAATTCTTGACTGAAGAATCGGAAAGGCAAAGTTTTTTGCAGCATTTATTTTTTAATCAATTTTTTTTTCTACTGGAACCTGTGTTTGAGATTAAGGACATTGTGCAAACAATCTACACAGTATTCTTTAACCCTTTAACTCCTGTGAATGACCAAGACAGAATTTCTCCTTACAATAGCATTACAATATCAAGCTGACTAGTGATGAGTATGAAGAAAAATATCAATAAGAAAAATATTAACTGATCAAATGCCAAATTCTCTACACTAAAAGCATAAGAACTGTGTGGCAGACAGTAAAGTGAATTACTAAATGACATCTTGGGAGTGAAACTAACTGCTCCATTTTTTCCTGGTGTACAATAAAAAAATTAAAGCAGGATTACTATATTAAACTCATCGTTCAAAGTACCAGTAGTATTGTTAGTAACCTTAACTAAATCAACAGTGATTTGTTGTTTTCAGCAAAAAGCTGCTACACGTGGGTCTGCAACAGCAAGTTTTGGGGACATATCAAGTCTGAATAAACCAAAGGAATAGACTGATCCAGTTTGATACCCCGTCAACTGTTTTTCATTCACTCTGGCAGTTCAGAACTTCAAGGTTATTTTGGAAAAAGCTTGTCATACAACAAAATTGCTTGATCCAAGAGGGTTTCTGAACAGATGTCCTCCACTCTCTGTCAGTGTGGAAATAACAGGCACAATTATACATGGATTTTGATTTGGTTTACCTGTGATCTATTGTAGATGGGTGATACAGGTGGAGGACAATAAAAAAAATGATGTTGGAACTCAGTAAAGAGTGACCATGACTGCTTAGTAGAGGTGACAGCTTTGAAGGGTGAAAATTAGCAATAAAGGGGAAACAAATTTTGGACTTTGACAACTGACCCCTTAACCCTTTAAGTCCCACTAGTGACCAAGACAGAATTTCTCCTTACAATATCAATACAATATCAACCAGATAAGTGATGAGAATAAAGAAAAATATCAATTTGGGGGTAATTAGTTGATCCAATACTAAATTCACTGAACTAACATCATGAGAATTGTATGGTTGACAGTAAGGAGAATTACAACTTTGATCTGGGAGTTAAAGGTTAATACAGGGTGACCAATTAAAACCGTGCTACTTACTACAGGTTTGACTTTAAATTGCGACAGTTTCAAGGCAAAGAGCAACAGTTTGACTGCACTTTGTGTGTCACTGTTCTGTTCTTATCACACTTTGGACTAGAAGCAGTCCATCCATTTTGTTGAGGTCTACCGTGCATGTGAAAGAAATGAGCAAGTAAAAAAAAAGGATTTTGGTGCACTGTGGAACAATTAGGGAGTAAGGGCACATCATCTGTAATCTAGAACTGTACTGTTATTACTTACAGTTGTCTCTATGAAGCATGTCAGGATCATAACTCACAACCAATAAAAAACACATGTTTAATCAATGGGTAATAAAAATAAGCTTTTATTACTTTCTAAAAATTATCAAAAGTGCAGAATAAAATATTAATCATACTTGTAATTTACCACATATTGCAGAATTACTACTAAAGGAAAAAACCTAACACTGAATTATTTACACTGTTTCAGTATCAACCACAAAATAATTAGATGCTTCATTTGCAAAAATTTGCAAGGTGGTACAGTGTGCTACATGAATTAAAATTCAAACTTTTGACAGTTTTTTTACAGTGCAAGTGATGGACAATGTTTTATTTTCAAGAACTTTGCGGCAATGTACATTTACTTGTCTGAACATTTCTGTTCATTATGAAACTCTACCATTCAACATAATCATTTTTTTGAAACAAGTCACTAAGGATTATTTCTATTCTATTTTTAGCTGATTATATTACCTGTTATTACAAATTCCACCTATAAAAATTACTGTTGTGTATGCAAAATACTTTCAAATATTGAAATCAATTGAATCAAATTGGGTTTTAAACATACAGACTTATGGTACAACAAAACCAAACACAAACTTCTCTATATCATAGTGATACCATGAAACTTTGAAATCTTTGAAAACTTCAACTATCTACTGTACTCCAAATTAACCTTTTGACTCCCAGACATGATTAACATACAACTTCTCCCTAAAATATCCATACAATAACCAGTAAACAGGTAAAGAGAATAATCAAGCTTATAGAGTAGTTGTTATCTTGATCTAACACCAACTTCTTCTTTACTAATTTACAAGGAAATGTGTGGGAGCAAGAAGGGAGAATTGACAATCAGATCTTAGGAGTCAACGGGTTAAGGGCCAATAAGCTGTAAGAAAACTAAACAGCAAACAGGGATGGTAGCTAGTTTGTTGTTTTGAGATTTTCTCTTAACTTATTTCATTTACACAATAATGACCTGTCAGAATAAATTCAAAGTGTTCATGGTTTTTTGAGTTTCACAAGGATGAGTAAACCAAAGAATAACTGGGTAATTTAGTTCTAACAACTGAGTTGATAATTTAACTGGCCATTGTAAAGAGTTTGAAAGCTCATTTGCTCTGACACAGGGCTAACACTTGAAACATCAGCTTTGGCAACTCTTTACAATGGCCAATTCACATTCTCAACTCAGTTGATAATACTAAATTACCCTGTTATACTCTCCCACTAACGCAACCCCACAGTTTCTTTACAAACCTACCCCCCCCCTGAAGAATAACTGTTACAGTACTATTATTTAAAAATAGCTAAATAGAAAAAATTACTTTAGATGTCTGGATTTAACACCTATGAAAGACTAGGCCTGAAAATAGGATAATTTTTTAATTTCTAAAAATAGATTTAGTAAATTTGATGACCTAAGTAGATTAATAATACAAATGATTATAATTCACTTGGCAGACAAAGGAACCAAGTAATACTTACAAAAAAAAAATTTAATCAACATTGAAATGCCATTCTACAACTCATTTCTACAGCATTTTTTCTTGAAAGGTCAGGCCTGGAAAAATGTAATATGGCATGGACTGCTCAAAAAATAAAAGAAAAAAAACTGTTGCAAACAACTAGCACTGGAAATTTGGGGCCTAACATGTGAAGGCTGTCTCTAGTAATCATGGATTGTAGTCCTTTTGTGCAGTAGTAAGCTGTTAAGTACAATGACACTGTTCTCACTTACATGTTGGTTAAGTGGATTGTACCATAACTAGGAGTGGAAAATATCACACTTCTTTCCATGATAATGCTCTTACGCTTTAAAAGAAGATTGTAAAAATCAGCTCTAAGAACAAATTTCAGTCATCTAAAACTGTTACATTTTATTCCAATTTGTGGAATTAAACATTTGCAGAAGTTTCAAGCCACATGCACAGAGTGTCATCGTTACTCTTGATACCAGATTTTTGAAGACAGCCTCAAAATTTAATTATCAGAGACAGCTGGCATGGTTGTTTTCTGAAGAATGCATAAATTAAGGATTATTAAAAAAACAAACAACAACAAATCTTGCAGCAAAAGAATAATGTTACAATAATTATCATCAGTGATAATACATGTGACTAATACTAGTAAATACACTCTTGAAATATTTGATCAACATGGCTTTGTTATGACGGTATGTTGCTTCCCTTCTCTGGGTTGAATGAAAATTGTTCAAAAGCTTCACTTTCCTCAGCAATGTCTGGGAGATCTCCTGCAAAAGGTTTTTGTAAAAAATGTGGTCATTTTTGTGTGATGTTGATTGTTATTAACCCTTTCACTCCCACAAGTGACCAAGACAGAATTTCTCCTTACAATATCAATACAATATCAAACAGGTAGGTGATGAGAATAGAGAAGAATATCAATTATCGGATTATTAGTTGATTCAATACCAAATTCTCTGAACTAACATCATAAGAATTGTATAGTAGATAGTAAGGAGAATTATTGATTAGATCTTGGGAGTGAAAGGGTTAAACCCCTAAGGGCGACTGGCACCTAATTTCTCTGTACCATATCAACCCTGAATCCAACATTAAGGTACAAGAATAAAGGATGTGATTGCCCATCCAAAGATGCTCTTGATTGAAAAACATTGGACTGCTTGCTGATTGTGGTCAAAGTTTCTATTAAATTATAAAGCCAAGAAATACACTCATTTTAAATTATCAGTGAAAGCAGATTTCTTATTGTTTTTTCATTTAAAACATGAATAATCTACATGTGCCTACTGGAATAAATTAACAAGTAAACTTGCTATTGCTAACTCTACTTGATGCTTCAGCTCCCAGAAGTGATTAACATGTAACTTCTCCCTATAATATCTAAACATTATCCAGCAAAGGGGTAGTGAGAATACTCAAACTTATCAGGTAGAGGTTATTACCTTCAACTGACAATAAACTTTTGTAAACAATTTACAAGGAAATGTGTAGCAGCTAAAGAGGAGAATTGACAATCAGATCTTGGGAGCTCAAAGGTAAAAATACTTTAAATTTATCTACTTCCTGTACCTTCTGGAGGTGTGAGTTGGGGTATTTCCTTTGTGAAGTCCTCGTCAAAATTTGATACATCCGTCGGACTCTTGACAGTGGGCCTGAAAGGTGGTTTTACCTGCATGTTGCAAAAAACAATTAGTTAACTCCCACGAGTGACCAAGACTGAATTTCTCCTTTCAATATCAATATAATATCAAGCAGACAAGTGATGAGAATAAAGAAAAATATCAATTGGGGGATTATAAGTTGATCCAATACCAAATTCTCCACACTAACAGTATTGAACAGTATGGAAGACTGTAAGGAGAATTACTAATGAGATCTTGGGAGTTAAAGGGTTAAACAAACAGTACCAGAAAACAGTGGCGTGCTGCAATGATTGGTTGCTCGTTTGTATTGTAAGTTTTATTACCTTTTTGTTCAATATGTCATCCCAGTTAATTGTTTCAAAAAATATATGTTTCATGACTTCCTTTGCATCATCTGGACCACCTCCAAGACTGAAAAAGAGACATGACAACACAGTCAGTGATCATTTGAGATAAAAAAAAAAGATTTTCCAGAAACCCTTCAAGAACAAATTCTACTGAAATGCATCAATGACTTTTCAGTGTTTCATTTCCCAGGGTTTAAGGAACAGAAAAGTCACAGGTGAATAATATTTGCTAATCACTTCTGAACTAGCCAATCAGAGTGTGCAAAAAACACTATTCAACTGTGTGGTGTTTGCAAAGTATCCCTATTGCAACAGCATGGTTGTATTATTATGATCATTGTTCTGACCGTTGTGTAGGGCTTTTTTCTAGGAGTCCAGAGAGGACACTTCTTGCATTATCAGTAATTCTCGCTGGAAACTTTACATCCTCCTGTTAACAGAAAACGGACCCTTCAAAATTATGAAAGACATATAATTATTATAATAACTACTGAATATTGAAAGTTCTCAACAGCCTGAGGAAGTATGTGTATGTTTCAGAGACCCTTTGATTTTTATCTCTGCCATTGAAAAGTAGATGACACTGACTGCATTTTGAATCTCTACAGAGTAACCAAGCCTTTCAAAGTTATCTTCAAAATTTGACAAAGGATGAAACAGATTTTAATCTTGCTCAGCAACCTGACCCCTTAAAAATGTCCTCTTTTCAACCAATCAGATGCAAGAATAATCCACTCCCTTCTTGGTTATCTGTATGGCAATTTCTCACCCTGGAAGCTCTTTTAGATTGTGTCTAATACCTCTAACTGGTTAGTTGTGATGTTTTCCTCAAAAACTATGCTTTTGTGTTGATCAATTTTCTGTGAGATTTACTAAACCAAATATAGTACTGTTAGTAACATTAATATGTGTAATAGTAAACAAGTCAAATTGACTTAAAATTAACAGGGTAATTTAGTGTTATCAACTGAGTTGATAACATAAATTGGCCATTGTAAAGACTTTCAAAGCTAGTGTTTCAGGTGTTAGCCCTTCATCAGAGTGAATGACTAAAATTAGCCTATTCCAGGTTTTCAGTCAGTAAAATGAGGTGCAACAGTAAACAGCACGATAGTGGTGAAGGAGAGAAAAGATGAGGGAGGTTTGCATCAGTTTTTTGTGACCCAACCCACATACTTCTCGTTTCTTCACTCTTCTGCTACTGTCATGTTTTGTTTTACTAACTGAAACCCTGAAACAATCTAACTAAACATCTACACCCGAATCTGTACCGTCAGGATAAGTTCAAAGAGAACTTCATGATCCCTGTTGTAAAATGGTAGACGGCCACACATCATTTCGTACATGACCACGCCTACTCCCCACCAATCTACAGCGTGACCATAGTCATTGTCTTCCAGCACCTTTTGTAATAACAAACAAAAATCATGAAAACATTCAAGTCAAGTAACTCAGAAGGGTAAATCTTGCCTGTAAAATTTGATTTTTGAACCAACCTTTTCAAAATTCAATACTTTTCCCAGACTTCATCAAAACTGTTATTAATTCATTTTCCAGACTGATAGTCATAGGTAAAACTGTTAAACCATTTGTTTTGCTTGAAATAGTTAGAGTAACTGTTGTAAAGGGTTTGTGGCAATTGAAAACTGTCTAAAACTGTCAAGCTGTTGAAAACTTTGACTCAAAAGTAAAGGAAAAGTCTGTATTAGAGACAAGTGACTCATCCAGCCAGAGCTTATTCTGGTCTCCATAGCATGAAATGACTAAGAGCATTACTACTCCCCCCTGGATGGGATGCCAATCCATTGCAAGGTTACCCCCCAGCATTTCATCATGCTTCCCTGACAATTTTCCAGTACTAATTTACACTCATGGGTGGAGTGATTGAGACTCTGTGAAAGTAAAGTGTTTTGCCAAAGAACACAACACAATGACCTGGCCAAGCCTCAAAACTTATACACCCCCCTCCCCTCCCCCAAACCCAGATTTCAACACATTAACCATTTCTTAAGCCACCCTGTCTCCTACTTGACCCAGAAGAAAAGCATGTCAATTCATATACACCTTATAAGCCCAGCAATTATGCATGAATTGCAGCTTGGAAACTGCAGATTTCTATACACCAGACATTTGCAAGAATATATCTCCGAATTTTTTTCAGGCCTTATTTTCACTACTGCTTATTAAGTAGTGTTCATTACTGCGGAGATCTCTCTCATATTCTCTTCTTTATGCACTGTTCACATATGATTTTTATATATTCACAGTCATTTATTCATCACTCAACAGGTTTATTTGGAACCAACATTATGATCAGCTTTCAGTTGGCTTGTTAGCTTAGTTGGTAGAGCACTGTATTGGTATCACAGAGGTCACGGGTTCATATTCCATACAGGCCTGAATTTTTTTCTTTCAGGTCTTGTTTTACTACTGGTTATTGAAGTAGTGTCAATTACTGCAAAGATCACTTTCATATTCACTTCTTTGTCTGCTGTTCAAATATACGATTTTCATGTATTCACAGTCATTTACTCTATCTCTAGAATATTCGTAGTTCTCTGCATGTTCTTAAAATATCCCTACTTTCTCAAGAATTTTGCCATTCATTCCAACTACAGATAAACTGACCTCTGGAGCAAGGTATTCAGGAGTACCACAGAAAGTCTTTGTGGTTGATCCATATGTGATGTCCTCTTTACAGAGACCAAAGTCAGTGAGTTTAATGTGACCATCTGAATCTAGAAGAAGATTTTCAAGCTGTGAAAAATAAAAGCAAGTAACAGATTTAAAATTATGCCAAAAATCAGTGCAGCAAAAAGATAATAGGCCAAGGATGTGAAGGACTATGTACCATACCTTAAGATCTCTGTAAACAACTTTGTGTTCATGAAGATACTTCACAGCCAGAATAATTTCTGCAGCATAAAACCTTGAACGGTCCTCAGAGAAGACACGTTCTTTAGACAAGTGGAAAAACAGCTGAGGAGAAAACCAGAATTGAAACAGTTTTTTTCCTTGACCAGAAGTGAATGGCAAGTAACTTCCCATGTAACTTAGGCATGTTATAATGTCATCTTGAACCCCAAAGACTAAAGGGTGAATTTATTTGGTTTTACATTCATTTCTAGTTCTACTTGATATTTGTGGGCCATGTTTGCTATGTGTATACTCCCACTCATGAAGAAATAAAAAATTTCTATACATGCAGGTCTGTACCTTAAAGAAAATTAGAGAAAATAAGTGAACCGTTTGACTGCCAAGGGCAACTATATAGCACCTTATTTTCTCTGACAGCTGCATCATTTCTGAATAAAATATTACCTAAAAGGGTCATGAGGATTGATAAAGGAAATGATCTCCAACAGAAAAAGCTTAACCCTTTAACTCCCAAGATCTTT